AGAATTTTCCCGAGCCGTCCCCGAATGCGCATTTTGAAGCGTTTAATTTCATGTTGTACGTCCGTAGAACATCAAATGTGCTTTTGAGGTCGGCACAGTGGTTTGCTGCCTTCCGACTCTTTACTAGCATGTCATCAATGTAAACTTCTATTGTTTTGTCTATCATATGTGAAAACATTTTATTCACCAACCTCTGATATGTTGCCCCAGCGTTCTTCAATCCGAATGGCATTACTTTGTAACAGTACATTCCATTCGGTGTTATGAAGGCAGTCTTTTCTTGATCTTTCTCTGTCAGGGGGATCTGATGGTATCCCCTGTAGGCATCCAGGAAGCTCATATGCTCGTGTTCGACAATGGCATCTACCAGCTGATCTATCTTCGGCAAGGGGAAGCTATCCTTTGGACATGCTTTGTTTAGGTCGATGAAGCCAACACAGACCCTGCACTTCCTATTTTTCTTCTTTACTACAATAGTGTTTGACAGCCAGGTCGGGTACTGTACTTTCCTAATTGTTCGGGACTCCAATAAGCATACTACTTCCTCCTTCACTACCTCCTGATGTTGAGGCGCCAACCTCCTTAGTTTTGTTTGATTGGCTTGTCCAATAAGCATACTACTTCCTCCTTCACTACCTCCTGATGTTGAGGCGCCAACCTCCTTAGTTTTTGTTTGATTGGCTTGAAGCTCGAGTCGACGTTCAACTGATGACATGCTACTTCGGACAGTACGCCGGGCATATCAGTAGTGGTCCATGCAAAAACGTCGGCATATTCTCGTAAAAGAGTGGCGAGCTCGGTTTTTTGTTTGGGACTCAGAGCAGTCCCTAACAAAAAGTATTTTTCGGATCCCCATCCTTGTTTAAAGACACTGTAATCAAGTCTTCAACTATTCAGTCAGTAACTTTCTTTTCAGAGCCTAAAGGTATTTTAGGGCCTTCCTCAACAGCTAGATCAGTTGGTTTAACCAAGCTATAAAAAGTTAATTGTTATTTCGTCTTCTCAGACATTGAGTTCTTCTCGCGAGCTTCAACCCCTCCTTTGGGTTTGACCGAGGCTAATAAACAAGTTATGGCACTGACCTGGTCTTCTCAGATATTGACTACTCCTTCAGCTGAAGGAATCTCAGCATCTGATGGTACGTTGAGGGTGCCGCTTTCATTGTGTTATAGCCAGGACCGCCCCATTATCGCGTTATATGTCGAGATTGTGTCCACTAACAGGAACTTGGTTATGATGCAAACTGGTCCTGTCTTTACAGGCAATGTGATCTTCCCCCTAGGAAGAACTGTTTTTCCACTAAAGCCAATGAGTGGAGTATTTGAAAGCTTAAGATCCTCCTTTTTAAGTCCAAGTTTCTCAAATAGATCTGAATACATGATCTCTGATGAACTCCCCAGATCAATCAGCACCCTTTTTATGTCAAAATTCGCAATCCGAAGCGTAACGACTAGGGCGTCGTTGTGCAGTTGGTGAATTCCAACCAAGTCCTGCTCGGTGAAACAGATTGCTTCGACTGAATCTTCTATCTTGATTCTTTTGTTGGTTACCTCCGGGGTCAACCACAACTTTTACACTTCTCTTTCGTTTGCGACTTTTTCAATATAAGCTCGGGCAGAATTATTTGTGAACATTTGTGGATTGGTGGCAGCATGGATCACATCAATCACTCCTGCTGGAGTGTTGTGGTCCCCATTTGGCTCGATCCTCCCTCCATCAGACTTTTGTTTACCTTCTGTAAACTCAGCGAGATGACCAGCCTGGACCAGCTCTTCCAAATACTGCTCCAGAGATCGGCAGTTCTCAGTCATATGGCCCACATCCCTGTGGTATGAACACCTGAAGTTTGGATTCTTTTTTGAAGGATCTCCTAATAACTTGTTCGGCCATTTGAAAAAGGGTTTTGTCTTGATCTGGCTTAGTATCTTGTATATGGGTTCCTTGAACAACATATTCACCCCCAGAAATGGGGACTTTTGAGGATATTCATCCTTCTCATTCTTCCTTTCTCCCTCTCTGTTTGGCTCGGTCCACTTGACTCTGTCAAACTGTCTCTTGCTCAAATGTTCTTTAACTCCGTCTCTAGATAAGTCATCATCAACTTTGACATACTTTTCAATCCTAGACATCAGCTCTTCCAGATCTGTGGCTGGCCTTCTTGTGAGCGACTGATATAGGGGGTTCTCCTTCGGTAATCCGATCTTGAAGTTCTCTCCACATGAGAGAGGCATCTCTTTACACACCATTTACACAGCTATCTCTCTCATAACTACCCAACCTCTTCTAGAGCTTACCTTTGTGCTCTCTCTCTCTCACACACATTTTACTTTATTAATAAAGTTCTCTGACCACTATCACCGCCTTCGGTGATTTGGTCACCTCGGCCCAACCACGCATTCTTTGCCTTCTGTTACACTCAATTGTTGATTGTACATAAATTTACTTTCGTGCATCATCAATTACTAGTGAAAATATAATCTGGGAAGCATTCTTGTATAATGTTGTAAGCAAGCTATCAAAAATGTGAATCAAATTTATTCTAAATTGGCGTTCTGGTCAAAACTATTGGCAACTGAGAGATTTATGCTATCTCAGCAAAGATGAATGGTGTTTTAGAAGAATTCATTTCTATTTCTTTCTTTTTTGTTAAACGGGCAAACATGTACGGATCAACTTATATGTACCTCGATTAATCCTCTCCTTAATTCGATCAAAGACAAAACATTTACGCCAGGACTAGGGTATTCATGAGGATAAATTCCTCGTGGCCTGGCCCTAAAAAATTGTCAAGATTTGAATTCGGGATTTCTATTTCTTTCCATGATTTTTGTAAAAGGCAAAAAATCAAGAATACCTCTTACTGGAATCAAAATATTGATGTGTTTCTAAACTTGATCTCTCAGTCTTCCTCTTCCTACAAAACGAACAAACTGCCCAAGATCAAAGGCACTCTGATGCTTAAGTCAGTACAGATAATGAAATGAATAGAAGAAGACCAAGAGAATTCAGCGTACTTTTCACCTTGGATTTCTTCATTTTTTTATAAATGGTCATCCCCTTAGGATTTTCCTGATTTTTTATTCAAGGTGGCACACATTCCTTCAATTTAGTGATTCGGTTTGGGAAGCTGCTGATATTTCTCCATTATTTTCTCCTGATATCTTCAATTTATCTTATTCGTTTATCTGATTGCCTAAGTTACAGGCAGATCTTTATCTTTCCATCTATCATTTAAAATAGTTCGAATGCCGAGCATACTCAATGTTTGCCGAACAGATTAAGGGACTTTGTTTGGCACAAACCGACCTCTTCAATTGTCTTGCAGAACATTTTAATGGACTCGGCTTGGTATAAGCCGAGCTCTTTCTTTACTTAACTGAATTAGATTGATAAGCTCGGTTAGAAAGAGAACCGAACTCTTTCTTTCTTTACTGAACCTATCGATCAGCATGGCTCGGTTTATAGGGCTATGTGAATGATTTTCCCGTCACGTGATCTGTCGTGTCAACCTCACGTGGATTTCATTTAATGTCATTACATGTGTAATGATGAGGGCTAACACCTTCAATTTCTATTTCTTTCCATGAGTTTATGTTGCTAAATTAAGGTGATAAATCGATCTAAATGGCTTATATAAACTTGTGTTAGCTTAGACAAATGAAATCGGGGATCATTTCCAAGCAGCGATTCAAATAGTAAGCCACTCTAGAATACAACTCTTCTAATTAACTAAGAATAATTAAACAATGTCAAAACCCATCAGCTATAAAAATTGCCACTGAATCAAAGATTAGAGGTGTCAATTTTACCTACTAACAAGAACATAAGAATGACATGATCAATTAATTATAACAATAGATAGATGGTGTTGGTGTTAAATTGGAATAATTCATTTTGTTGGTTTTGGGCAAAAAAAATAGACATTTTTATTTTTATTTTTTCCTTTATTGATCTATTGTTGTAGGAATTGTTTTAGAAATAAAAATCTGAATACAACACGAGCCGAAATGGCGAATATGCACGACCTGCAATGACGTGATACCAAGATAACACAAAACTAGTTATGCCGCAGTCTATTTATTTTAGAGAGAGATATTTGGATTTTTTTGGGTGTGGTGAGGGGTAGGGGAGGGGAATGGGGTATAGTCAGGGGCAGCGCAACAAATAAGTAGGCCATACATGAAAACAATCAGTAAGGCCTTAGTGTTATAATATTAAATAAATAATAATAATTTTCTTTTTTTTTGTATTTGAGATGTAAAATTATTATTTCCGCTTTTGCATAAAATTCACTGATTTAAGTTAAATTTGAATATCAAAATATAATTAAATCTATTGTCAGTTGTGTTTGTGTCGTCTTTAGTTGAGTTTGAGTTGACTTGTTGATTTGAGATATCGAAAAATTTTATTCACTTATCATTTAAAACTAGTAAAACTAGACTCAAACTCGTTAATGTCATGTCAATTTTTTATTAATTTCATAGATTTTACCTAACATTGCAAGATTAAATCAAAATTGGGAGCTCTAAATTTTTTATAAATGATCTTCAAAAAAATTTATAGGCCCAAATATTATTATTTATTTGGGGCTATTAGTCGGCGACCTTAATGACATATTCCTAGGGCCAGGCCGGGGTATTGTTGTCTTTCGGCTAGAATCACTCGTATCCAATGGTAAGTAGCAAACAGATCACCATACTTGCATGACAGTTGTATTGTATGCTGGATTATCCATTCTCCAAATTTATGGCAGCTAAGGTAAGTAGCTTTTATTGCAGTTTGTTGCTGTAAATGTTTCTTTCCTAACCAAAAAAACACTAAAATGGGAATAGACAGATAGACGTACAAAAGAAGTTTCAATTCACACACATCTTCTTGTTCTATTCAATTTCATCCATCCAACTTCAACTTAATCTAAACAACCAAAACCATATAATTCCCTTAGCCTTCGAAGAATTTAAAACATCGAGCACGAGAAAGAGAAAGAGAGAGAGGACAACATGGCATCTATTCTTGAAACCCTCTTGACGTCAACCTTGTTGCTTCTTATTCTTGTGCTGCCTAATGTCCATGCCAAATCCAGCAAACAAAGTCCCCCGGCAACCCCTTCGGAGAACAAGAAACATAAGTTCAGGTCAAGACCGTGGAAGAATGCTCATGCTACCTTCTATGGAGGAGATGATGGCTCGGGAACAATGGGTACGTAGGCAACTAGGAAGCACGGATAATTCTCATAGGGGTGCCATGACAGTATTGGACATGTGTCCGACACAGACACAGCCGGACATGCGTTCGACACGACTATAAGTGTCCTGAAGAGTGAACTCATTTAAGCACGGCTAGGATACGTCTAGGACACGGCCAGGATATATTTAGGACACAGCCAATATACATCTAAGAAATGGCAAAAAAAAATTATTAAAAAAAATAACTTTTAACTACTAAAACTTTACTATTTTTTAATATATTCTTTATTACGTAACTTATATACTATAAATGTTGATAGATGCAATGATGTTGATGAAAATAGTGGATATTTAATTTGATTTAATTTAATTTTAATCAAAAAAATAATATTTGTTGGGTGTTATTATTAATATTGTTACAATATATGCTTTATTTTAAATACATTAAAACTCTATTATTATTTAAAAGTTATATTATATTATTTTAATAGTCGTATCATTGCCGTATCCGTATCCCATATTTTTTAACTTTGTCATATTTCTGTGTTCATATTGTATCAAATACAACATATCTATGTCTACATCCGTGCTTTCTAGGTAAGCACTTAAGTCCTCCAATTTCAGCATTGCATGGTCTGCATGATCTAAACCAAGCTGTAGGTTTAGGCTAGGTGTATGGGCCTTTATCGCTAAGACAGGCTTCATTGTCAAGCCCAAACTGGGATTATTGGAACATGGCTTAGAGCTAGGGATCAACAACGGGCCAGGATGGTCCGGCGCATCAGTTGATGATGGTAACTGGTGGGCTCGGCCACAGGGCCATTGATTGGTCAATAAACTGGGAAGAGACAGCTCAGGGCCACCATTGGTCCGGTCTAAAGGATCTATTTTTTAAGCTGATGATCGTAACTCGTGGGCTGGGCCACCAGGCCATTTGACTGGTTAATGAAATTGGCCATCCTACCCAAAGAAGAAACAGCTTATGACCCACCATTGGTCCAGTTCTATAGGATCTATTTTTTGAGTTTTTTTGGTGGTGTTTCGTACTAATGGGTCTTTAGTCCAATAATACTCTTTATTTTAAATTTTTTTGAAATAAGCACACCTAATTAGACTTATTTGACAAAAAATACATAGAATAAAATGTTTTGAAAAAACGTACACAGCTAAGTTACAAAGACATAAATTTCTATTTTAGGATAATTTAATTCAAAATCTCTTATATTTAATCCACTTTGATTCATGTGTATTTGTTAATACATGTAAATATATATATGTATGTATATATATATATACTTGTTGTTGAATCTCTTATCTAAATTTTTAATTATCTTTAATGCATTTTGATTTATACATTTTTTTTTAAAGTGATTTTATTTTCAAATTATATTTAATGCACCTTAATTCAAGCGTTTTTTTTTTTTTTGAAAAGTTGTTTTATTTTCAAATTAATTTAATATCCGAATAATGTAAATAGTGTAACAATAACAGTGTAACAAATATACTGTAACAAAAATAGTGTTCAATAATTTTGTGTATGTGGTAACAAATTAAAAACGGCGATGTACTATTTTGAAATAAAATTATATGAAACTATATGTTTGACAAAATGTAATAGTATAATATTTTGTGTAAATAAATTTGTTACACTTTTATTGTTATATTGTTATACTGTTATTGTTATACTATTACAGTATTTGAATATTAAATTAATTTAAAAATAAAACTACTTTTCCAAAAACAAATGCATGAATCAAAATACATTAAAAGATAATTCAAAATTTAGATAATTCAAAATTTAGATAAGAGATTTAACAAGAAGTATATATATATACATCAATACAAATTTTGAAATTCAAACAAATATATATATATATATGTGTGTGTGTGTGTGTGTGTGTATTAAAGTTTTCCTATAAAATTAGGAGATATTTAATGCACTATTTTTCAAAAAAAAAATGGTGCATTAAATACATATAGGTTAATGAAGGACAAAAATATTACAAAAAAATTAGTAAAATTCAAATAATGTACTTAGATACAAATAAGTATCAAAATTAAAGATTTAATTACCCAATATTTTTTTTATGTTCTTCTTTGCAATTAAATCTAATTAGGTATACCTTCTTCCAATTTTCCGCTTTCTTAAGATTGTCCACCCTTCCCTTCCCTTCCTTTCCGCAAAAAAAAAAAAATCACATTCAACATATTTTTATCTTTTGTGATTTGACGGGCTAATTGGCCAGGAAATGGGCCTTAATTAGGCCAATCCATCGGGCCTAACTGGCAATAAACTATGATCCACAATTCTACCCTTTGGGTATCGGGGGGGGGGGGGGGGTTGTTGTTGTGTGGGGGTCGGGTGGCCGTCCAATATGGACTCGATTGATAGAAGTTTTATGAGAAAATTAAATATTAGATTGTATTATTTTTTATTTAATGGGGTTTAATACTTTATTTGATAAGTAAATTTAATATTATATTAATTTAAAAAATATATACTAATTGTATATTTATCATATATTTTTTGTACAATAAACTTGTATTATGAATTTTTTTAATACCATCAAGAGGGGTGGTATTATAATTCAACTCAAACGTATTATTTTACGCATTTGCTATTATAATCTCTCAACTGATAAAATAAAATTGTTATCAATGTAACAAAAACTAATTGAAGGTATTTTTGTTAATTCAACATTAATATGATGAAATAATTTTCTAACTAAACAACTGATTGGATTAAATAACTATTATCCAACATTTATATTGTGTATTGTCAAACACTGGATAAAATTATGTATTATTCTAATATCCTATTTAATCTTGTCTTTTATCCATATATATTATATTAAATTGAATTATTTTATCTAACTCGTCAATTTCAAAAAGGGACAACCAAACAAGCCCTATAATCATTATGTAACATAGTCCTGCTGGATCAAATATTAGCATATCCATAATCCATATCCAAATTCATAACAAATGACAATTGGGATACAAATTTAAATACAATTATTTTATCTGATTACTCTGATTTTGATCTGCATTCAATCCACTGACACGCTCATCTACAAGTTCTTCCATATAAAAAAAATATTGGTTACTGTGTAACAAGCTTTTCTGATTCTCCACCCACAATACCGCAGGGGGAGCTTGCGGCTATGAAGACGTAAAGAAGCAAGGCTATGGTTTACAAACAACAGCATTGAGCGCAGCTTTGTTTAACAATGGACAAACATGTGGGGCTTGCTATGAAATAAAATGTGTCAACAGCCAGAAATGGTGTAAGCCCGGTGCGCCTTCTATCTTCGTTACCGCCACCAATTATTGCCCACCAAATTATGATCTACCAAACGACAATGGCGGGTGGTGCAACCCGCCCCGTGAGCATTTTGACTTGTCCCAGCCAGCATTTCTTCAAATTGCTGAGTACAAGGCTGGCATTGTTCCTGTTCAATATCGCAGGTATTGATCGATAGTATGTTCTCCTACTTGAAATTTAAATTGACATATTGGGCTAAGTTGTTGACTGATTAACTGATCGGGTTGGGCTGTATGATGGGCACAATTGTGGCCAATGGATTGCCCCAATCGGTTTAATGGGTCTTGAACATATGGTAATGGAGTTTTTAAATGGGCTGAGGGAGGCCGATTCTTTTTTATAAACTTACTTGAGGTTTAGTACACTCAAAAAACTTATTTTAGAATAAATTTATTTTGATCTATATTATCCAAAATACCCTCAATAATTATATTTAGTCAAAACTTGTTTGAAAAAACTAACAACTCCTCAATTGGGAATTGTATTAGTATTAACAATTAATACCTTGGAAATTGTGTTAGTATTAAAATTATGTTCATATATATATATATATATATATATAGACAGAGAGAGAGAGAGAGAGTAACACGCTCAACAAAAAAAATAGTAAAATCAAACAGTAACATGCTCAATAAAAATTTAATCATTGTAATAGAATGACACCCCCACAACAGAATAAATACTCACATATGGTGTCACTCTATTGTAATTTTTAATTAATTTTTTTATTAAAAATGTTATTGTTTGATGTTACTATTTTTTTATTGAATGTGTTACTGTTTAATATTTCAAATTTTCGATTGATTGATGTGATTAAGAATGAGCATCATGGGTTATTTCGTAACAAAATCAGTTGTTGCTAATACTTTCTTCTATTTGAGATCAGAGAAGATAGAGTCCGACCACAACGATCGAATTTTTTATTCCTAAACTATGGTGTTTGTGAGGTAGAATTTTTTTTGGCCCAAAACAATGGAAGATTTTCGAACCTATTTTATTAGTGAACTAGTCATAACCCGTGCCTGAAGGCACAATTAAATATAAAATTTGAAAGTTTAAAAAATTGATCACATTATATTAATTTTTTTCAAAATATATTAACTACAAATTAATCAAATATTAAATGATTAAATATATGATAAAAATAAGTGATGCGATTTGACATTTGAGTCTAATAAAGGGATAATAGGTGAGATAAGTAATTAGTGATGGTTTTGAGGGAGAAAATATGATTGGAATAAAATTCAAACACACTCCTATTTTACTATATATTTTGTTATTGGGATGGGTTACATCTGTTCATACCGTCGTGATGAACCAAAAGTTAGGCCCATGGTCTCCCCGTTGGGCTACCATGAGGCAGCTGGCTCAGTCCATAACACATCGTGTCGATATATTAAGCTAAATTTTTAAATCTTCAAAATTATTATTCTATTGTAAGAAATTGCAAATTTTTTTCATAGGGTTCCATGTAAGAAGCAAGGAGGAATTCGATTCACGATAAACGGAAATCCTTATTTCAACTTGGTCTCAATATCTAACGTTGGTGGAGCCGGAGACGTCACAACAATGCTGGTGAAAGGCGACGACAAACTGAAATGGACAACTTTGAAGCGGAACTGGGGTCAGAAATGGGAGACCAACGCCAAGCTAGTGGGGGAGTCACTGACATTTCGGGTCACGACAAGTGATGGTAGAACCTCAACTTCCTGGCGGGTTGCCCCGAAAAACTGGCAATTTGGGCAGACTTATGAAGGCAAAAACTTCAGCTGAAAAACCTGTGAAAGAAAGCCACTTTTAAAACACACACAGACACCCTATTTGTCACTTCTTTCTGTATATTCTATTGCACAGGGTACAACTCCGGTGAATTAGACTGATGAATGGTCAACTTAAAAGTAACTCAAGTTGTAAAACCCTCGACTTAAATTTAACTCGAATCTTAGTTAAGTTGTATCCTTCTGCCCCATTATTGATCCATACATGAGTTTTTGTTTTGCTCAAAATTTAAATAACTAAATATTTCAGTTTAAACTCGGGTTGAATTTAAATTGATCCACCCAAATACTAAACACTTCAGGTTGGGCACTATACACAAACATCACATAGACAATCCAAATTCGAATCCATGGTTTAGAGCTGCCAATTGCAACTATCATTCGTGTACAATCCACGTTAAATCTGACCAACTGTCTATTCTATCTCCTCTGTGTATTTTTTAAGTTTGAATTTTGACAAAGTCATGCCATAAATGATTTATCTTTCACGAATACCTTAGTTTTGGCATGAATTATATGCCTTTGAACGGACTAGGAACAAAATTAATCGAAGTGCATGTAAACTGATTTGAACAACTCTTTTCGTTGAATCAAAAACAAGAAAAAAAAATGATGGCATTGCATTATTATTTATAAGACTAACCACCCACCCTGCGCATGCTTAGTTCGGATGATTACTTCGTTGATGATGAAAGATAATATTAGTGCCAATCTCATTCTGAGTCAACTGTTAGTTTTGAGTTTGAATGAGTTGATTTTGATTCTACATGTCAATGACTTAATCGACATACTAATCCTGTGCAGTTGATGCTCCAAAATAATGATATTTACACAAATATTGGATCTTAATGGCCTCTCCATTAAGGGGGGAGAGAGAGATGTTTACCAGACAAAGCCAAATCACAGTGAGAGCACTGAAAATGACATTGTCATCTCAAATTATAATAGCCAATGATAAAGATGTCAATCGAATTGTCTTGTATTATATTCGGATCGTATCATATTTTTTTAATTATTTGTGCTAATTAAAAAACAATTAAGTTTGAAAAAAATATAGACAACAACATGTGCCAATTAATCCCACGAAACACCGATGAGAGCTAAATTCATGAAGTTCGGATCTACGGCTCGTTTAAGTCGAATCTCCCACCTATGGACTATCTGTATCAGTTCCAACTCATTTAGTATTGATGACAATAAATTGTATATTTTTTGAATTGGTAATTGTGTTGTGTTCAACTAAACAGGTAAAATTAAGAACCTAGCTGATTAGGTAAAAAAGTCTTATCTAAACTGGGCAAGAAGGGTAAAATAACTTTTAATTGGGTGGGGCTTTCACTGATCGATTATTGGTGACTAACGTTGTTGTCTTGTCACAGTTGTTTTTTTTTTTTTTTTTTTTTTTGAATTGGAAAAAAAATAAAAAAATAAAAAAAAAAAATATATATATATATATATATAAGGTTGTTGTCACAGTTGTTGGAAAACATAAATTAGTTCAATTGACTAAGCAGCCACCGTTAAGTCCAAAAAAAAATTTTTTAGACAAAGGATGAAAATGACAAAAAATGTTATTATAATTTTTTTTTATTTCAGAAAATTACATACCGACAAATCTATTTTCTTTTTTTGTTCAACGGTCAAGGAATATCTGAACCAACTTACGCACACATCTCAACTAATCTCATCTTCAGTCTAGTCAAAGGCGGACCATCCACAGGGATGAATCTATTATGATTTGGCTCTAAAGAGTTGCTAAAATTTGAATTTAAGATATCTGAATTTAAAATTTATTTCTGTTATCACTTGAATTACCCTTAAAGTTGACAAATCTAATTCAAAGTGAGAATAAAAACAACAAAAATATTATTATAACTTGACTAATTTTGGCAGAGTCCATGACGAAGGGTAGTAGAAGTTTTCAATGGGTTGTGCATTCACTAATTGATTATTTGTATTGAGGTCATTGTCACGATTAATCGAGAAACTAAATTAGTTTATTAGACCAACCAACACGAAGCCGACGAAAATTTACCCAAAAAGAAAAACATTTGCAGCCTTTCTTTTTTTATTTAGATGATGTAATTGTACATATTACATAGTTTTAGAGTTTAGGGTTAATTACAAATTACTCTCTGAAAGATCGTTTGAATTTTAATTTATATCCTCAAATATCAAAAAATTTAATTTGTACCTTTAAAGATATAAATATATATCAATGTATACCTAAAGTTAATAGCCGTCAATTTACCCTCTAAAATTAATTAGATAAATTACACTCAAATTCTCTCATACTTGTCATTTAACCATCTAGATCGTTCACATTTGAAATATTAAACATTTCCGAAGGAACTTAGCCTTGTTGTATACGTGATCCAATAAGCCTATGGAAAAAAAAAATATAATACCAAATAGTAGTCCTCAGCCATTAGTGTTGATTTAGTTTATTTGTAGTTATTGATCATTAAAATAATAAAATAAGATAAAACTTCGTAAGTGTCGTATATAAAAAAGTGATATGATATTAAAAAATTATATTTTACTATAAAAAATTTACACATATAATAAAGAGATAATTGTGTATTTTTTTGAGTATAGGTGTCAAAATATAATATCATTCTTTAATAATTGACATGAAATTATAGGAATTGAGTTTTACTTCAGTCACATTTTATAAACGAATGAATCCGACATGACATGATTAATAAATAAATCCGGTATGAGTGAAGTTAATCTAAAAAAACACACAATACGGTTCGTTTATATATCAGTTATACACGATTTATACAAGACACAAATCTAATATAATACGATTCGTTAAATATAAATTAATAAATAAATAAAATATAAATAAAATATTTTTTTAACATAAATTAATTAAAACTCGATGAAAACTCGTTTTATCCGACATGCCTGATTGAAAAACTTAAGGTCTGTTTGGTTTACGTTTCAAAAAGTATTATCCGAAAATTGTTTTTGAGAAAAGTTTTAAAAAGTGTGTTTTGATATTTTTCTGAGATGAAAAACTTGTTTAGTTATATGATTTCAAAAACTATTTTACATAATATGAAATAGTAAAACCTGTTTGAATAGTTTAAATATATATTTGAACAGTAATTTAAAAATTAATGAAAAAAATATAAGAATGTTATTTTTAGATTGACAATTTCATAAAAAAAATCAATAAACAAAACTTTAAAATAAACTAAATATATTCAATAATCTTCATCAAAAATAAAATCAATATAAAAAATATATCAATGACCTTTATTTAAAATAAAACCAAACAAATTCAATAGAAAAAATATACAAATACCAATAATTTTTTTTCAAAAAAATTATAAAAAAAAAATAACACCGAATAACACTCCCACCATCACACACACACACACACATCGCCCAAGAAACACATCCATCACACACACACAATATATATACACACACACAGTTACACAATACACACACCCATTGCCCAAGAAACACACCCATCACACATACACACACACACACACAACCCAAGAAACACACCCATTACACACACAATCTATATATATATATATATATATATATATATATATATATATATATATATATATACACACACACACACATAGAGAGTCACACAATACACACACATTGCCCAGATCTGAAGAAGATCAACATATTATTTGAACATAATTTTATGAATATAATTTGGGGACATAATAAGCTGTCACCAATGAAATGATAGTGAAATATATTTAATGATAGGTCTCATTGTAGCATTAAATGAATTCACCATCATTTCATTTGTGACAACTCATTATGTCCTCAAATTATGTCCGTAAATTATGTCTCAATAGCATTGCTCATAATTTCTTCTTAATCATCATGTATCTGATTTTTTCAAATCGCCACAGATCTGATTTTTTCTTCTCAATTCATCACGGATCTGGTTTCAATTTGTTAATTTCTTCTCAACTCATCGCAGATCTATTTTTTTTTTTTTGGTCAAATCCCAAAAACGCATATACAATACAAAAATAATAACTATTAACCGAAGAAATTTGATACCCAATTCCATAAAAACCAGATCCATAGAGCTCGTACAAATGCTTGTAATAGAGAGAGAGAACAATAGTTGTTTGTTTTCAACCTACATCGGTGCTTGTACAGATGTTGTCAACCTTCGGCCTTTGTCGGTGGTCCAAAGAAAGAGAAGGAGAAGGAGAAGGCAACAAACGTTCATTGATTTGGAGAGGAGAAAAATTGGGGGTTTTAGGCTTTATATAGTAAGGACATATTTTGTAGCCAATGAAATTCGATATTGAGATCTCATTAATTGGACTCGCGATTTGCCGTTTCCGTGTTTTTCAAATTTGTTCTCAAATTCGGTCAAAACAACTCCTAGTTGTTTTTTAAAATTTTATCTCAATTCTCACCTTTTTTTTTGAAAATTAGAGATTGAAAATAGCTTACCAAACAAATTTTTCTTATTTTTTATGTTTGAAGAACAAAAAATTGTTTTGTAAACTTAAAACAAACGGACCTTTACTTTTGGGAGAGAGAAGTTAGAAAAAAATAATAATAAATCACCTCTGGAATGGTCGGCTGCCGGCATGATATCACGGTAGTGACAAGGATACCCCACAGTTTCATTAATAATAATTGATAAGCTAATCTCTCTCTCTCTCTCTCTCTCTCTCTCTCAATTATGACTTATGAGATTGAGTCACAAAGTGAAGTCAATTTTTCTCTAGTTATCACAACCATGAGATAAAAGTTGGAAGTAGGAGTTTGGAATTGGGACCACTGCACTTGTCCTTGTCGGAGGCTGCTCACCTTTTTTAAACCATGTATCAGGATACCCAAAAATATTTTGTCCATAACCGTAAATTTTGTTGTGATTTGACAAAAGTCATTCATCGTATAAATAATAAAATAATATAAGGTAGTAAAAAAAAAAATGCGTGATACTAAATATAACCAAATCAAATGTTATGTACTAATTTTGAT